TCAAATAAATAAATAAAATCTTTAAAAAAAAATAAAATAAAAATAAAAACTGGTGTTCCTCAAAGAACATCATCAAGAAAGTAAAGGAAAACAAAGAATGGGAGAATATATTTGGAAATCAAATATCTGATAAGAGTCTAGTAACTAGAAATATAAAGAACACTTACATTTCAACAATGAAAAGATAAACAATCCAATTAAAAAATGGTCAAAGAGGGTGCCTGGGTGTCTCAGTCAGTTAAGCAAGCATCCAACTCTTGATCTCAGGGTCGTGAGTTCAAGCCCCACATTGGGCTCCCCACGCTGGGCACAGAGCCTACTTAAAAAAAAAAAAAAAATGGGCAAAAGATTTGAACAGATATTTCTCCAAAGAAGATATACAAATGGCCAGTAAGTACATGAAAGGATATTCAACATAATTAGTCATTTTTGGGAAACACAGATCAAAACACAATGAGATCGGGGTGCCTGGCTGGCTCAGTCAGAGGATCATACGACTCTTGATCTCGGGGCTGTGAGTTCAAGCCCCATGCAGGGTGTAGAGATTACTTAAATGAGGAAAACTTAAAAAAACCACACACACAATGAAATACCACTTCACACCCACTCAGATTGCTACAATAAAAACAAAATGGAAAATAAAAAGTGTCAGGGAGGACATGAAGAAATTGGAATCCTCATATATTGTTGGTGGGAACATAAAATGGTGTAGCCACATTGGAAAACAGTCTGGCAGTGCCTCACAAAGTTAAACATAGAATTATCATATTATCCAGCAATTCTAATTCTGGGTCTACACACAAAAGAATTGAAAGCAGGGACTCAAACATTTGTACACCAATGTTCCTAGCAGCATTACTCACAATAGCCAAATGGTAGAAACAACCCATTCAACAGATGAATGGATACACAAAATGTAGTACATACATACAATATCCAAATCAATGCCACTGAACTTTATATTTAAAAATCGTTAAAATATTTTAAAATGGTCAGTTGGTTAAGCATCTGACTCTTGGTTTCAGCTCAGGTCATGATTTCAGGGTTATGAGATCAAGCCCCACGTCAACTCCATGCTCTGCACGGAGTCTGCTTGTCTCCCTCTCCCTTTGCCCCTCCCTGCCACATGTGCATGCTCGCTCTCTCAAATAAATAAAATCTTTTAAAAATGGTTAAAATGCTAATTTTTATGTTTACTCTACCACAAAGAAAACACTTGTATACGAATGTTTCTAGCAGCATTATTCATTTGGGTTTTTTTTTTAAAGATTTTATTATTTATTTATTTATTTGACAGAGAGAGAGACACAGCGAGAGAGGGAACACAAGCAGGGGGAGTGGGAGAGGGAGAAGCAGGCTTCCCGCTGAGCAGGGAGCCCGACGCGGGGCTCGATCCCAGGACCCTGGGATCATGACCTGAGCCGAAGGCAGATGCTTAACGACTGAGCCACCCAGGCGCCCCTAGCAGCATTATTCATAATAGACAAAAAAATTTAAACAACTCATTGATCTACTGATGAATGGATAAATATAAGAAGTGATATATCCATACGATGAAATGTCATTTGCCAAGAAAAAGGAATTAAGTACTGATTCATGCTATAGCGGGGATGAACCTAGAAAACACTGTGTTCACTTCTAGAGATGATTAGTTGGGTCAAGGGGAGAGGAACTTTTACTATATTACTCTTCTGTTCTATATAGAACAATGAGCACATATTACTTCTTAAAAGAACAGCATCTAACAAAGGGTACAATGCCAGACATGATCTCCAGGCTGGCACTGCTTACTCACCAATGGAATGTCTAAGCTCGCTGCACTGGCTGACAGGGGGCAGCTTCAGCATTTCCCTCCATTTTTTACTACGACCACTTTTTTTGCCATAGCTTCCTAAATTTGGGGAAAAAAAGTATTTTTTTTAATGATCAGAAATATCCAACTATAACAACTATTTCCACTAATATATTCCATTTGGTACCTATGGTGAGTGAAAATACAAGCTTATAATAATTTGTCTTATCTAGAAGGCATCTTGACAAGTATAAAAAATCCCAAGTGATGCAATCAGTCACTGGCTTTATCATTTAGAAACCATGTGACCCTGACCTTCTATAACTAACTCTGCTGAGCCTAAGCTTCCAAATTTGTGAATTGGACCTAACATGACGTATCATACATGGTTGCATCCCTACCATGGAGCAAATGCCTGCAAAGGACAGGAAATACAATGGTAAAAAGGACAACATCCCTCCCCTCCATTCTAGTGAGGGAGAGAGATTTTTTTTAAAAAGCAGGTAATGATAAGTGATTTAAAAAAATAGCCAATCATACAGTACTAAATGGTATACAACAAAATCAAGCAAGGCAAAGATGAAGGGTGCTACTAGGGCTAAGGTGAGATTAGAGAAGGTCTCTCAAAAGGGTCACACTTGGGCAGAGACCTGATGGGGGTGAGGGACTAAGCCTTGGAAAGATGTGGAAGCAAGACAAGAATGGTGGAAAAAGCTATTAGATGATATTTTAGCAGACTGCGGCTACACTGCAGTAAGCATGGCATAAAGTATAGAGATAACGGAATCACTATATTGTACACCCAAAACTAATGCAACATTGTGTGTCAACTATATTCAAATAAAAGAAAATTTTTAATAAAGTAAAATAAAAATTTAAAAAGATAATATTTTAGAACTTTTTAAATAAGCCCCTTCAAACCAAACTCAAGAGAAATTAGAACCTTCAATTTTAAGCATTCTGAGGAGCTGAAATTTTATTAAATTTTATCCAAGAGAAAACATCACAGTTTTGGCCAGTGACTAAAAGACTTCAGGGCTATTGGAAAGAATAGAGAAATCGGGAGGAAAGCCATGTTCTAGGAAGTGATGAGCTCTGCCTTAAGCACGGTGAGTGAACCACTATGAGGGAAAGCCGTCTGGAGGAGCTCAGGAGAGAAGGCCTGGCTAGAGGTACGGATTTGATAGTAGTCTGCCAAATAGGTAATGCTCCTCTATCCACCCCTCCATTTCAACTGGGATCATGGTTCTAGACTTATATCCACTATGCAGAGGTCCCAGAGCACCTCAAGGTCAACAGGTTCAAATCTGACTCAATTGTCTTCCCCTCAAATTCAATCCTCTTTCCACACTATGCCTCCAGTTAATTACCCACCATCTACTAGGCAAATGGAGCTGGAAACTGGGGCACTATCTAATTCTGTCTCTGAAGTGCCTCACCCATTTATTCAGAAAGCATTTGCAGCCCAAGTCCTGTGTGCTGGGCACTGTCCAGGCACCAGGCATACAGCAGGTGGCCAGCCCTGCCTGCAAAGGTGCTCCTGTCCCCTGCTCTCCCTGCCCAGGCTAGTACCAAGGTCGCTGGCCTCTTCTTCTGACAGGCCTTCCTACCTCCAGTCTTCCCTTCCAGACCCTCCTCCACACTATCTTCCACTGTTACCTTCCTAAAATGCAAGTATCAGCTCACTTCTGAGTCTAGAGCTGAAGGGAAAATAAAGCACAGCCCTAACATCATCCCACAGGCACACCATGCCAAAGCCACACTGTCTATGAAGGCCCCTAAGAAGCAAGAGCAGGTTCCCTCCAGGAACCATAAGTGTCTGGACTGTCACTCTGGCCTTATTAGTGTAGACAAATCTCTACTCAGCTCAAGCAGAACCCCCCCCCCCAACAAAGCCTACCCTGCCTTTCCTAGGGAGATGCAGGCACTCTTTCCTTTTCATGCCCTTTGCATCTTGAAAACATCTTCATTAAATCTCAGCAAGGGCAGGTTCTAGGTTCATGGTCTTATTCCCAGTGTATCTCCAGCATTCGAAACATGACTGAAGGGATGTAAGGGGGCTCCAGGTGCACTGCATACAGCAGACACTAAAGGAATGTTTGCTAACTTTGAGGAGACCTGAAAAATTGCAGATGCTGACTCTAGCACATGAGTCAGGTGGGGTGAAATTGCCAAGGTCTAGGAGGAGGAGGAGGAGTAAGAGTTAGATGTACTGAGTCTTTATTATGTACCAGACACTTTTCTAGGAGCTTCATATATATTGACTCATTGAATCATCCCTCACCCTATGATGAAAATACTACCACTATTCCCTTTTCTCAGATAAGGGACCAAAGCAAAGAGGCCAAATCACCTGTCCAACACCACACAACTAGTGAGATGTGTGGCTCTGCTCCAGGAATCCTGCTTAACCATTACTGCTATTAAGAAGCAAAATGGTGTAATCAAAGCCTTTTTAAAAAGTACACAAACATTTAAAATAAATTATTTGCCATAAACACATTTAGAAATTAAGCTGGGATTTGAGCCCACATAATCACACTGGCCAAACTGGGACACTACCTTTGTCATAACAGCTGTTTTACTATCAATAAACAGAACCACCAAGGTAAATGCATAATGTGAGAAAGAACTGGACCCTTGTCTACAAATTCTGCTGGATATTAAGGGGCTTGGGGGTCAGTTTTCTACTACGAATACCATAATTATTTTTATAACATATTCTATATTTCTGTAACATATATTATACACCATCCCTAGTCCCAGACCCACCAGAACCAATCACAATCATGAATTTGGTGTGTTTGTAAATGTGTGTGTGTGAGTGTGTACAGCCTTTAACAGTATATTGTTTTAGAGCAAGATTCCTAACCTGGCATTCACAGGCAGATATCAGGGTGTCCCAGAATTTGGACAGAAAAAAATCACCTTTAGCTTCACTAACTTCTAAGCAAAATTCAGCATTTCTTTCAGCCATAAATGCAGGCAAGAGTATTATAATATTAGTAGTATCTGTGACTTCATCACCAAGAGCATTCAGATTTTCCTATCACATCACAGTTGCTAAAGAGAACTCAAAATATTTATGCTCACACTACTCTGAAATTATCATAGAGGCACCAGACCAGCTGCCAGACTGTCTACAAGTACTCAGGTGATGGAGCCAAGCAACCCCTAAGCAGCTCTGTGCCTGGTAGTTAATTCTCCAGACTCTAAATGGCTAGGTCCTATGTTCTCACATGGATGGTCCAGCTACGTATTTTACTCTCTGTGACTCCCTACAACTGTGTTGATGGACACATAGAAGCAGGTGAGTCAAAGGCCATCCCACAGTTTAAAAGCCCCATTCAAACTAGCCATGATGGCCTTCACACTGATGGATCTTTAAAGGATGAAAACTTTAACTTGCTTATGTATTTATTGCCTTGTACTTAACTCTCTGATAACAGAGAACTTTCATAACACAAATCTGTTTTAAAAAATTTTACAGTTATTTCAATATAGTTGACTTCTTTTACAATCATGTATTTTATTTTATTTAGATTAAGAACCCCTACTCTAGAGGTTGTTAAGAAAAATGGTGTGCCACTGGGGCGCCTGGGTAGCTCAGTCGGTTAAGCAGCTGCCTTTGGCTCAGGTCATGATCTGGAGTCCTGGGATCATGAGCCCCATGTCAGGCTCCCTGCTCAGAGGGGAGTCTGCTTCTCCCTCTGCCCTTCACCCTGCCCGTGCTCTCTTTCTCTCTCTCTCAAATAAATAAATAAAATCTTAAAAAAAAAAAAAATGGTGTGCTACTGCATACATCACTCTACAATTTGATTTTTTCCACACAGTTTAGTCCATTTTGACACAGATTGTTCACTGTCCCAGCCAGGCTCTCTTCTGCTCCTCTCTCCCCACCCCCAGTTTCATGTTTCATGGCCCCTCTTCCTCAGCAAAGCTAGATCCCTTATTTCCTCAGGTCTTTGCTCCTGGTCACCCAACATGAGCTTTCATGTCCTACCTCCATGCCTAACCCTTAGCACCCCCCTTCTCTGCTTTATTATCTTTTCTTGACCCTTATCACTGTCCACTATACAATCTATTTCACGTATCCTGTTGAGGACCTGTCTCCCCATGAGAATAGAAACTCCTTGAAGAGAGGGGTTTATCTGTGTTAATCACAGCTGTAACCTCGATAGCTAGATGAGTGGCTGGCATAAAATAGACATTCAATAACTATTTGGTGAATGAGTGAATGAATGAATTTAATTACTATATAGTAATCTGCTATACAGTCTATTTATCTACTTCTTATTGATGGTCATTTATTGTTTTTGGTTTCCAGTATTACAAATAATGTTACAGCAAACATTCTTACGAATGTCTCTTTTACCACCATTTCTGCAGAGTATATGCCTAGAAGACTTCTTGACCTAGGTGTGTGATTTTTTTCAACATTAATGGATACTGTTTAATTGTTCTCCAAAATGGTTGTGTATTATGATTACTTAAAATACAGCATACATACTGGGTGTAATACCCTTGATAGCCACTCAGAGTTACTTTTCATATGTAACATAAATTTGTTGAATCAAAACGGAAACAACTTCTCTTCCTTCAGTTTATTTATTTTTTTAAAGATTTTATTTATTTGACAGAGAGAGACAAAGCGAGAGAGGGAACACAAGCAGGGGGAGTGCGAGAGGGAGAAGCAGGCTTCCCACTGAGCAGGGAGCCCGATGCCAGGCTCGATCCCAGGACCCTGGCTCAGGATGGTCTGAGCCGAAGGCAGACGCTTAACCAACTCAGCCACCCAGGTGCCCCTCTTTCTTCAATTTAGAATAACTTTAGTCAGAAGAGCTCCACAAAGAGCAGAGGCTGAGACTAAGCCAAATAAACTTAGTTCACTTGCCTCTTTTTTTTTTTTTTAAGATTTTATTTATTTGACAGAGAGAGAGCTAGCAAGAGCAGGAACACAAGCAAGGGGAGTGGGAGAGGGAGAAGCAGCCTTCCCACGGAGCAGGGAGCCTGACGCGGGGCCCGATCCTAGGACCCCGGGATCATGACCCGAGCCGAAGGCAGACGCTTAACGACTGAGCCACTCAGGCGCCCCAGTTCACTTGCCTCTTAAAGTCAGGGCATTATGCTAAGTGAAGTAAGCCAGTCATCAAAAAGGCATATACTGTAAGATTCCACTTATATGAGGTATTAGGAGTCAAATCATAAGAGACAGAAGCAGAATGGTGGTTGCCAGGGACTAGACAGAGAGGAGACTGGGGAGTTATTACTAATTGGGACAGAGTTTCAGTTGGGGAAGATGAAAAAAGTTTTGGAGGTGAATGGTGATGTTTGCACAACAGTAAAAATTTACTTAATACCACGTGCACTTAAAAATGGTTAAATATATTTTACAACAACAAAAACATTTTTGAAAAAAAAATGAGATTTACTCAAACAACATAAAGTCATTTGTTGTTTAAGTGCTAAAAAGATATCACCCAAATTGTCCACTTTATATTCATCAAGAAGTGAAAACAGATATGCAAACACAAGCCTTTTTTTTTAAAGATATTTATTTATTTAGAGAGCATGATCGGGGGTAGTGGCAGAAGGAGAGGGAAGAGAGACAGAATCTCAAGCAGACTCCCTGCTAAGCGCAGAGCCCTATGTAGGGCTCAGTCCCAGGACTGCGAGCTCATTAACTGAGCCAAAATAAAGAGTCTGATGCCCAACCGCCTGAGCCACCCAGGCGCCCTGCAAACACAATCTTGATAAGGGTGTTATTCAATGTAACCACTAATCCTGTAGAAAATTCTCTCAGCACACAGAGCAGCATTTACCCAGAATCATTACACTGGAACAGTATATCTAGGTCCCAGCTTGCTCCTTTCGTAGATTCCAGGGCTATTTTTCTTCTTCACTGCAGCTAATGTCAGCAGTTACCTAATATAATCAAAGCAAAAGAGAAAAACTGCCAGTGTGCCTCCCAGTTTTTTCTCATCTCATGATAAAATCACAGGGTTTTGTTTTTTTTTTTATTTCACCAAACAGAAAAATGAAAAAGGAGGATGGAAGAAGAGAATATATCAGATTTCCCTGTAAGTACCTTATTTGGCCAAGTCTATTTTCATCAATACTTCCTGAGAAAGGCTACTGCAATGCAAAAGAAGTAGGGTGCACAATCTTAAAGGATGGTCTGCTAACTACATAGATTTGCTTTTATTTAGAATCCAGTACATTGCTTTCACTATCCCTACTTAATTATGCCAATGAAAACTTTGCCCTGGTAACTTCTGTCCAGGAGAAACATAGCTCCAACAGATACTCTGCTCTTTCATGCCCTGTTTTGCTTCCATACTGTTTTTTTTTAAGATTTTATTTATTTGACAGAGACAGAGACAGTGAGAGCAGGAACACAAGCAGGGGGAGTGGGAGAGGGAGAAGCCGGCTTCCCGCTAAGCAGGGAGCCCGATGTGGGACTCGATCCCAGGACTCTGGGATCATGACCTTAGCCAAAGGCAGCCGCTTAACGACTGAGCCACCCCGGCGCCCTTGCTTCCATACTCTTAACTGCATTGTCCATATGTGGCTTTACTTACATTCAAGTCTCTTCATCTTGTCTTGCTCACTGACAGCCCTTTTCCCTCATATCTCCCAAGAGTAATCTTTTTCCAAGCATTTATCTAAAATGCCTGGGAAGAGGAAGAAAGGGATTAGCAAAGACACAGGCCCAGTGCTCCTGATGCATAAGAGCCAGCAAGGTAGATGGGCCTCCCCCAAGGAAGGTCACAGGCCAGGGCAGTAGGTGCTGCAGAGCCTTGGCCTCTGGCCCCAAGCCAGAGTATAGGGCGATGATAGGTCACTTCCCAGATCCACAGACTGGCAGGGAAGCAGCATACCCTGCCAGGCTAGGTTCTCCCTGTGTGCATGAGAAAGGCTGATCACAGGGTATCCAGTGACTAAATCGGAGCAAAGCTGTAAACAGAAATGGAGCTAGCATCTCCTATGTCATTTTCTTAGGGAAGTTCCCTAATTCAGACTTCTACTGAGTCATATTGGCTCACCAATTCATATGAGCTCAAGTTAATGAAATTTTAGTGTACTTGATTTATCTTAAAGTCTTCAGAAGAAAAACAGTGTTTCAGGAAAACACTGCATTGTATCCATCCAGCACAACCTTCCAGGTTATCAGATTCTAGCCTTCCTTGTCTTTGACCTATTGTGCAGCTTTCTGTCAATTGTGGGTGACAGGAACACATGCAAGCTGTTTTGTCTGACAGTTTCCATGGACTTCTCTTCCCTCTGTAGAAAAATCAGTTTGCCCAGATTTGCAATTCAATTCCTTTACTCATATAAATGTGAGCCTTTTGACTTCATTTGAACTGTTTAGAACATTTGCCTGGTTCCCTACATGAGTAAAACAAAACACATGTTCATTTTAATGTGATCTGTGTGAGCGTAATTTTGTCTTTCTCTGGCAATTATCTTAAGATGCCTTACTCCTAGTCAAGCTCCATCCATGGGACCTGTAGTGATGTCCACTCTTTCATTTCTGATATTATTTATTTGTGTCTTTTTTTCTTCTTTGTCTGGCTAGGGCTTACAGATTTATTAACCTTTTCAAAGAATCAGATTTTCATTTTGTTGATTTCCTGCCTTTAGTTTCACAGATTTCTACTCTAATTTTTATTACTTGGGCATCTGGGTGGCTCAGTGGGTTAAGTGTCTGCCTTTGGCTCAGGTCATGATCCCAGGATCCCAGGATCAAGCCCCGTGTCAGGCTCCCTGCTCAGCGGGAAGTCTGCTTCTCCCTCTCCCTCTGCCTGTCCCCATCCCCCACCGCTGGTGCTCGCCCTGTCTCCCATAAATAAATAAAAAATAAAAAATAATAAATAATAAATAAATTAAAAAAATCTTTTTTAAAAGTGTGTTGTCCCCAATTATTTGGGTGATTTTCCAGCTGTCTTTCTGTTATGATTTCTAGTGTAATTCCACTGTGGTCTGAGAGCAGACATTACATGATTTCTACTCTTTTAAATTCGTCACAGTGTGTTTTATGGCCCAGAATGTGGACCATCTTAGAGAATGTTCCAATGTGACCTTGAGAAGAATGTGCAGTGTATTCATCAATTTCTCCTTGCAGTTCTATCAGTTTTTGACCTACATATTCTGCCTATATGTTGTTAGGCACATACACATTAAGGACTGCTACATATTCTTGGACAATTGACCCTTTTGTCATTATGTAATACCCCTCTTTATCCTTGATAACTTTCTTTGCTCTGAAGTTTAAACTGTGTGAAATTAACATAGGTACGCCTACTGCCTTTGATTGGTGGCAGCATGGAATACCTTTCTCCATCCCTTTATTTTTAATCTATGTGTATTTTTATATTTAAAGTGGATTTCCTACATTAAGATCCAACAACATGTAGTTGGGTTTTATTTTTCTATCCACTCTGACAATCTCTTTTGATTGGTACACTTAATACCATTGATGCTTAAAGTGATTACTGATATACAATACAGGCATACCTCAGAGACATTGTGGGTTTAGTTCCAGATCACTGCAATAAAGCAAATGTCACAAAAAGGAATACAAATGAAATCTGTGGTTTCCCAGCGCATATAAAAGTTATGTCTACACTATGCTGCACTCTGTTCACCACACAATAGCATTATGCCTAAAAAACAATGTATATACCTTAATTTTAAGATACCTTATTGCTAAAAATGCTAACCATCATCTGAACTTTCAGTAAGTCATAATCACTGATCACACATCACTGTAACAATATAATAATTTAAAAGTTTGAAATATTATAAGAATTACCAAAATGTGATGGAGACATAGAGAAAAAATGCTGTTGGAAAAACAGCACCAAAAGACTTGACACAGGGTTGCCACAAACTTTCAATTTGTAAAATGTGCAGTATCTGTAAAGCACAATAAAACAAGGTATGTCTGTAGTTGGATTAATGTCTACCATATTTTTACTATTATTTGTTGCCCTTGTCTTGTTCTTATTGTTGTCTTCCATGCCTTTTTTTGCCATTTGTGGTTTTGATCATTTTACAGGATTCTATTTTCACATTTTTCTTAGCCTATCAATTATACTTCTTTTTAAACTGTTTTTAGTGGCACCCTATAGTAATATACATTTATAACTAATCCAAGTCCCCTTTCAAAGACAAATACACCACTTCACAGGTAGTACGAGTACCTTATAGGTAACAAAATATTCCTAATTCCCCCTCCTATCCCTTGTATCATTGCTGTCATTCATTTCACTTATACATAAGCGTATCCTTTTTATATATGTGTGAATGTATATATCTGTTATCTGACAGCTATTAGATTAAGAAAAACAAGTCTTCATTTTACCTTCACGTATTCATTCTCCAATGCTCTTCCTTTATGTAGATCCAAGTTTCTGAATATATAATTTTCTTTCTCTCTGAACAACTTCTTTTAACGTTTCTTGCAAGGCAGATCTACTGGCAACAAATTCCCTCAGTTTCTGTTTGTCTGAGAGTCTTCATTTCTTCTCACTTTTGGAGGAAATTTCACAGGGTGCAGAATTCTAGATTGGTGGGTTTTTCTCCCAATACTTTGTATGTTTCACTCCCCTATCTTCTTCCTTGCATGGGGTCTGAGAAGAAATCAGATATAATTCTTACCTTTGGTCTTGTATAGGTAAAGGGTTTCTATCTGTGGCTTCTTTCAAGATTTTTTCTTTATCTTTGATTTCCTGAAGTTTGAAGAAGATATTCATGTCATTCCTTTTTTTTTTTCCCCTAAGATTTTATTTACTTGAGAGAGAGGGCGGGGAGAGAGAGCAAGTGAGCATTAGCTGGGGTAAGAGGCAGAGGGAGAGGGAGAAGCAGGCTCCCCACCAAGCAGGGAGCCCAATGCAGGGCTTGGTCCCAGGACCCCAGGATCATGACCTGAACTGAAGGCAGATGCTTAACTGACTGAGCCACCCAGGCGCTCCTCCTGGGTGTCATTCTTTTGACATTTATCCTGTTTCATGTTTTCTCAGCTTCATCTGTGGCTTGATGTCTGACATTAATTGGGGGAAAGTCTCCGTATTATTATTTCAAATATTTCATCTGTTCCTTTCTCTCTTTTTGCTCCTCCTGGCATCCCCATTACACGTCTGTTATGCCTTTTATGGATGTGCCACAGTTTTTGGATATTCTGTTGTGATTTTTTTCAGTCTTTTTTCTCCTTGCTTTTCAGTTTTAGAAATTCTCAGTCATATCCTCAAGCCCAGAGATTCTTTCCTCAGCCCTGTCCAGTCAGTTAATAAGGCCATCAAAGGAATTCATTTGTTATTGTTTTGGTTCTGCTTAACTCTAGCATTTCTTTTGATTTTTCCTTAGAATTACCATCTCTCTGCTTACATTATCCATCTGCTTTTTGCATGTTGTCTAACTTTTTCCATTAAAGCCCTTAGGATACTAATCACAGTTTTTAAAAATTCCTGGTCTGATAATTCCAACATTCTTCCTTTTACTCTGTTTGGTCTGGGAGGCCATAACAAGGGTCTGGAGGAGAGGGCTGACACCTCAATTTAAATTTTAATAGGATCACTCTGGCTGGTGTGTTGAGAACAGACTGTAGGGTCAGAAAGGCAGAAGCTGAGACCAAGTATCAGCCAACTGTGGTCTTCCAGGCGAGAGAGGTTGACGGCTTGAGCCATGCTGAAGGTGGTGAGAGGTCAGATTCTTTGCATTTTGAAGGGAGATCTGAAAATATTTTCCCAAGGACTGGATGTGGGATATAAGGAATTAAAAGTCAACTGTAAGATTTTTGGCTTGAGTATTAACTAAGATGCAGAAGGAAAAAATTGGGGCAGGGTGAGTGTTAAGGGTTAGTTTTGACTCTGTGTGTGTGTGTGCGTACATGCAGATGAGGTTTCCAAGTAGCAATGTCAAGTGGGCAAGTGGAGAATGAGCTGCAGGTCAATGGAAAGGTCCAGTCTGCAGATCTGAGAGATAGCAGCTTGCCTCAAACCATGTTACTGGATAAGATCACAAGGGAGTGAGACTCCATGAACTGAGCCTTGGGAGCATTTCAATATGAAGAGGTCTAGCAAACAAGAGGCAACCAATCAAGCAGTCTGAGAAGGACAAGCCCTGAAACCGCAGAAAACCATGGAGGGTGCTGGTCTAGAAGGACATATTGACTGAGGTGACTCCCATGATGAGCTAGTCATGTGCAGCCCACACGTGTAATAGCATTAGGACTAAGAACTGACCGTGGTGATCCCGACAAGGATGGTTTTAGTGAAGTGGTGGAGGTGAGAGCTTAGAACCCAGCACATAATTCACTCAATACTTGTTTAAAGAGTAAATGACACACACTCAATAGTGCACACACACCATGTACCTCCAAACACCCACATTTCACTAAACACAGCAGTGCACACACACATACCATGAACCACCTTAGTAAACTATCACTACAAAAGACCCCCTCTGAAGAATGTCACAAGGTGAAGGAGAGAGAGACGAATGGGATCCTCTCCACCGGTATCTCTGTCACCCTGGACTGCTATAACAAAATACCATAGTCTGGGTGACCTAACAACAAACACTTACTTGTCAGAGTTCTGGAGGCTTGAAATTCTGGCAGATTTGGTGACTGGTGAGGGCCCTTCCTGGTTTGTAGATGGCTATCTTCCATTATGTCCTCCTGGGCCTTTCCCTGCTACATGCACTTGAACACAGAGATCGTGTGCCTCTCCTTTTTATAAGGACATTAATTCCATCATGAGGGCCCACCCTTATAACCTGATGTAACCGTAATTACCTTTCAAAGGCCCTACCTCCAAATACCATCACTGGTGATTAGAGCTTCAATAATTAAATTGGGAGAGGACACAAATATTCACTTCATAGCAGGTTTTTTTTTTTCCATAGCATAAGGCTTGGGGCACACATGCTAGTGAACTGGAGCAGCCAACCCTGCCCCTCAGTAAGCTGTCCTTGATTCCAAAAGTCTCCATTGACACATCACAGCAAAGTCTAGCTCCAATTTTCTGAGCTGTCCCATCCAGGTGCAGTCTCAAGATGAGTTGAGTGGCGCTCACCATACCATGTCAAGACAGGAAGACCAGTGGGGAAGATATCAGGCAAGAAAAGGAAGAGCACCCAAATTTGGTCATGTGACCATAGCCTTTATCAATGTGGTTGGCATGGCCCAGGCTATTTACACAGAAGACCCTCCACAGATCCTAAAACCTGAGCAGAGTAAAAACAAGAGGCACAGTCCACTAGGGCAGTATATTGTGTCCCAAAAAGTAGACAGTGAAGTGGGGCCACAGCATTTGAAGGCCCAAAGGTTTGAAGGTGCCCCTCTATAAGCTGCCTTTATCTATTTTATGGGTTGAATTTGTTATGGGTTAAATTTGTACCTCCTCAAAAAAGATATTTTAGAGTCCTAACCCTCAGCTAACCCCCACCCTTCAGAATATGATCTTATTTGGAGACAGGGTCTTTATGGAGGTAATCAAGTTAAAATGAGATCATTCAGGTAGCTCCTAATCCAATGTGACTAGTGTCCTTAAAAAGGGGGACATCTGGGAGCACCTGGTGGCTCAGTCGGTTAAGTGTCTGACTTGATTTCGGCTCAGGTCATGATCTCAGGCTCATGGGACCGAGCCCTACGTCAGGCCCCGAGCTCAGTGCGGAGTCTGCTTGTCCCTCTCCCTCTGCTCCTCCCCACCCCGCCCCGCTCACTCTCTCTCTCTCTTTCAAATAGATAAGATCTTTTTTTTTTAAAGGGGGGGGATCTGAACACAGGCACACAGGAACAACATCATGTGAAGACAGAAGCAGAGAACAGGATGGTGCACCTACAAGCCAAGGAACACCAAAGATGCCAGTGAACCCCCAGAAGCTGGGAGACAGGCCTGAAACAGGCCCTCCCTCACAGCCTCAGAAGGAATTAGCCCTGCCGACATCCTGATCTCAGACTTCTGGTCTCCAAAACTGGCAGAGAATAAATGTTTGTTGTTTGAGACACTTAGTTTGTGGTACTTTGATTACCACAGCCCCAGCACACAAATCCAATACCATTTCTGTCCTTTCTTTTTCCTGTTCTTCCTTCCAAGTATCTTTTCCTTGCATTTTGGGCTACTTCTGCTTCTGATCCAGACATAACCGGAGTGCCCATTTCCATCTTTACTCATTCATTAACTCATCAAACATTCATTGAGCACCTACTATAGGCCACAATATTATACAAATGACCTCAGAGAGCCATATAAAGGGCTCAGTGAAGCACCGACTGTCCTATGGCAAATGAAGCAAGCCAAGCTGGCAACACATGCTGAAACAAGTTTGAAGAACCATACAGATCATTCTGTTTTGAGGTCAAATGTATCAAAGCATAAACTGTAATGAGACTACTAATTTGTATTTTGCATAGCAATTAATTATATGCTTATTGGATAGTGAATACTATTAGCAAATTAGTCTTTATAGCCATGACATAAATATTAATGACTTTGCACGCATATATACAAAACACCTCATGTTTCTATAGAAGAGTAACTTAAGAAAGACCTAATCCCAGTGTTTTTCTGTGTCTCAGAATAAGGTCACAATTGAGGCACATGGGTGGCTCAGTCTAAGCATCTGACTCTTGGCTTCGGCTCAGGTCATGATCTCAGGGTCCTGAGATCGACCCCCGCTTCAAGCCCCGCGTAGTGTTGGGCTTCCTGCTCAGCGAAGGGTCTGCTTCTCCCCTCCTCCCTGCCCCTACACCCACTCATGCACTCTCTCTCTAAAATAAACAAACCTTTAAAAAAAAAAGAAGAAAGCCAAAATTATGTTCACTGCCACCATTTTCCTTCAAAGCTAACTATTACCTAATTTCAGTCATTACATAAAATGTGACCCAAAAATATTTTAGAGTATTGGTTGCACAAATAATTTTCCTACAAATTAGCATAAAGTCACTAAATCCAATTTTTGGTTCACTGAGCAAGCAAGAAAAAAAGATTAGAGCCATCATATACTTTATGAAAAAGCCAAACCAAACTGATTGCTAATAAACTGGCTGGTTTATAACTGTTCAAACCAGCAGTAACACAATGATAGTAATAGAATCTAGATATCATTACGTGAGGATGGGTTAACCCTTTGTTGGTTACCATTATACAAATTACTCCAAAAGTCTAACAGGTAAGAAGAAATACAAGTAAAAAAGAAAATACTTCCACATTCTGCATGGAGCACTGGGTGCTATGCACAAACAATGAATCATGGAACACTTCATCTAAAACTAATGATATAATGTATGGGGATTAACATAAGAATAAAAAAAAAAAAGAAATACTTCAGGGGCGCCTTGGTGGCTCAGTCGTTAAGCGTCTGCCTTCGGCTCAGGTCATGATCCCAGGGTCCTGGGATCGAGTCCCACATCGGGCTCCCTGCTC